AGGGGTGTACTTGTGAGTATTGAAGAGAACTTAAACACTTATGAATTTTCGGAATGATTATCAGTGAAGTTGCAGCTTGCTTTGAGGATTTGTTTGCAGGTTTACAGTAAAAATAAAAGCTATAGTATACTTCACATCTTAATTTTTCTCAAATTTGGTGTCTTTCAGGGTGGTCAAAGAAGAAATCATAGATGAAAGTGCGCACCTTCCATGTTTCAATGGCAGAGTTGTCTCCTGGGTAAGTATGCCATGGGTGAATGCACTGTAGATGGCACTGCTGTCAACCTGTCCAACTGTCTTGATTCCTCCAAAAAAATTTTAACCTCGGATTGCATTTATATTTGGCATTAATTCTCCAGGAGTAGCCCTGCTAGAGATTGAGAATACTTTTCATGACAGAGCTGATGAAGAACTATGTTTGTTTGGACAAGAACACCTGAAAACTACAGAGGATTGAAGCACAGACATGTTCTCTTGCTCAATCTGTTTTACACAACTGCCCTTGTAGAAGATTTTGCGGTCTATAAATGACTGAAATGTTCTCAAAACAGCAATATTTTCTATGAGAACTAAGCAAAAATTGTAAAGCTTATGGAACTGTGGATCAAAAGGTGAAGGTGGAGGCAATATGTATGTTCGTAAAATTAAATAATCCCTAATTCCTTACTCTCTGATAATGTTTTGGATGAAGATGTCTTTGAAAAGTCAGCTGTTGATTAGACTTGCTGGTTTCTGAAAGGCTTCCCCTCACAGAGAACATGTTAGAGACATAGCTGTTGCTCACAATGACATCAGTGAAAAAAAAAAATGGTTAATCAAATTCTGATTACACCACATTATAAGTAGCACAATTTTTCATAAACATCCGCCATTAGCTTCTAGTTTCTCAAGACAATGTTTTGATGAATAAAATTGAAATTTTAGAAGTTCAGAGAAGACAGTTCCCGTAAGAAGATTTGTATTGATTTTTCATTTTCCTGAAATCCAGTGTCCTGACTTCCTGTGTCGTACCAGACAGCAACAAGATATTAGAAGCAATAGGGATTTTATTACTCCCCATTCCCATAGATTAGATCGACCTACTTTGGATCGACCTAACTCCCTGGGGGTTCGCGCTGAATAGCTGTCAGCCGGGCGGACACGAAAGTTAATTGCCCCTTACGGCTTGTAGTGGGCAGGGACAGACACTTAAGGGGGATTATCTGACGGTAGTCTGGTGAGACTCCCTGCGGTGATAGATCGATCTAAAGTTGTGGGAATAGACCCTTAGGTTCTTCCCCTTAATAGGATTATGCTGTGTGTGTTGTCTGGTATATAAAGGACAGTTTTTAAGGGCACACAGTGTAGTACTTCTGTATGCAGGGTGGTGTGTGCAGACTTTTGAATCTCTCTCTCTCTCTCTCTCTCTCTCTCTCTCTCTCTCTCTCTCTCTTTAACCTTTTTTTTTGTGGGTGTTGATTTTCTACATAGTGCTGCTTCTTTTCTTGTTTAAATTTAGTGGAACAGTAGTCATTTTATTAGTAAAATTCCATTTTTTTTGTGTGGGGGGGGGATGGGCATAAAATGATGCTGAGATGGGAGGCTTATTTGATGTGTGAAATGAGTGGAAAACATACATGTTAGAAATTGATGGTTGTTTAGATTATACAGAGTGTACAGTTTCTATTGAAGATGGACCAATCTAACTTATTTCAGCAGAGCTGATTGTAATTAGCTCTTCAAACAGAAACAATCTAATCCCTATGGTGTCCCGCTTATAGTTTTTGTGCTTTGGGTAAAAAAGTGAGTTAATACATTGCCTTTGGTTGATTAGTGCATGGTAATAATATTGGATGGCATACTGAGGTCTACCTATCTTAACTATTAACACACCTTACACTGAATGTGAACAAGATCTTTTCCTGTGGTTATTGCCTCTACTACAATTTCAAATAAGCACCCACTACATTCCCAGAGCAAGTTATGGCACAAAATATACCATAATGTATAAAATTAATTAATTTTTCCCTGATATTGGCAAACCCGGAAATGATCATCTTTGTCCAACATTCGAACTCTCAGGAAGAGAGCATATATATCACTTCCCGGTGGAATTGAGGCAAGAAAAGTGAATTCATTTTCTGCCTGCTTGGATCACTGTGCCATCTGTAGAGTTTGAAACAATAAAGGCAAGGTGCTCTTTGATGGAGAGATACAGATCCATGCAGGTGTGAATGATTGACATTTAAATTCATTGCCAGTTTTTTTCCCGAGTCACTTTCATGTTGAAAAAAAAAAAAAACAACTAAGATGTGTCTCTGTTCTTGCCATGATGATCCACAAGTTGTGTATTTATAAATTTATTTATTTTTTGATAAGAAGATATGTTATTAATCCAGATGTCCTCAAAAAAAGTGCTGTTTTTTATTATAATTTTAAATGCTTAAAGCATAATGGTGTTTGTCCTTGTTTTAAGTTGAATTAAAGGAAACCACACATGTCCAGTGACACATGTATTTATGTGCTGTGTTGTGGTTGGTGCACGTTTGCTAGAGAGAGAGAGAGAGAGAGAGAGAGAGAGAGAGAGAGAGAGAGAAGAGAGAGAGAGAGAGAGGTAGGGAGGGAGGGGAAGAGAGAGAGATATGGTGCTAAAAAAATGTATTACAGGAGTATATTTCAGTCAATTCCATTCAATAAATTCTAATCCTACAGGGTAATTAAATATAATGAAACAATAAAACTCCAGTGCAGTGTATCCCTGTAGAGTGAGATAGCCAACAGAGAAAGCTCAAAGATGCCCATCATCAGTAGAGTTTTAGTCATCCATCCTGTTGGGAATTTCACACNAGAGAGAGAGAGAGAGAGAGAGAGAGAGAGAGAGAGAGAGAGAGAAAGAGAGAGAGAGAGAGAGGTAGGGAGGGAGGGGAAGAGAGAGAGATATGGTGCTAAAAAAATGTATTACAGGAGTATATTTCAGTCAATTCCATTCAATAAATTCTAATCCTACAGGGTAATTAAATATAATGAAACAATAAAACTCCAGTGCAGTGTATCCCTGTAGAGTGAGATAGCCAACAGAGAAAGCTCAAAGATGCCCATCATCAGTAGAGTTTTAGTCATCCATCCTGTTGGGAATTTCACACATTAAGTCTATTGATTTTTGTCTGGAGTGAATCACTTCAGATTATGTACAATGATATGGAGAAGCACGCTGAACTTAGGTTGAAGATGCACCCAGGACTATTTAGTCATTTTGGAATGGTTTTGTGCTCATGCCTGCGAAAGATAAACATTATAGTAATTTTCTGCACAAGTGCAGTACATTGTGTGTCTTCGACCTTAGCATTGCCGTCTTTTGATGGTTTTGGTGAAATTGTTCAGTTCTGACTGGCAACATCTTGAATTAAGATGATGTATTTTAACATGGTTGGATATGATGGCTGGCTGAGTCATTTTCTTGAAACATTTTGCACAGTTGAAGATGACAATAATAACATTTTAGCCCACGATGATTCTTTTAATAACAACATCGTGATGTGAAGTGAGCAGAAACTTAAAGATGAGATGTTTTCCTTGAAATTAGACATCATGCCAACTTAATAGTTCTAGAATCTATGAAGTTTATAAATAGCACAATTTTCTTATTAAGACATGAAAAAAGCATATGACCAGTGTTAGAAATTAAGGCTGGACCGTCTGCCCGGGGCTGACAACTTTCAGAACGGGCTGAGAAGTTATCCCACCCAGCAGACATTCAGTCCAACTACTTTTCAAGATGGCTGGACTTTCGGTCCAGCAACTAATTTTCCTAAGACGCAAACACTGCATATGACGAAAGAACTTATCCTTAACTTGAAAAGTAGTACCTGTAGCAAGAACAAAAGATAATTGACCCATGGGTGTACTAGTATACCTTCAATTCATAATTTTTCAAAAATTGAACTTGGAAATCTGAATTTTTTCCCTTGACTGTTTTCTTTCTTAAGCTATCCCCAACCCCCCCCCCCCTCCCCTTTAGTAAGGCCAATGAGCATTTCTTTCTACTTTTTGCTATAACCTAATATCATAACCGACTTAAAAAATCAAACGAGAATGGTGGGATTGCTGTACGTCTTTCATAAGCATGACTTGGGGTACGTAAAGCGTGTCTTTTAAATTACACCTTTTATTCTGGGATTGGGACCGAAATTGATTTCTGAGAGGAAACTACCTCAGAGAAAAGACATGTTTGTAAATATATTTCTGCAGTGTAGCAATACATTGTAGTTAAATTACAATTTTTCCTTTGAGAGTTGCACTGGAATGGCATGTGTCTTGACATAGAGGTTGGAATTGCTTGTATCTGGTGAAGATCAAACAGCAGCCTGATTGGGAATGAAACTTTATTTTCAGCATTGAGGATGTTGGCTCTTCTCCTTAGAACTAATGTTTTGCATGAAAATATTTCAAAAGATAAATGTTGTTCTACAAAGAAAAAATACCTCGAAGTGCTTTGCCAACATTTCTTATCTTTTCGGAAAAATCAGACTGTCTTGAGAAAATACATATTCCACCTATATAATGGACAAATGCTCAGCCTCTTCTTTACAATATTAAAGGAAAGACCAATTCGCCTGGAAAAAAAAAATCCCCAACAGAACATCTGCTAAAACTTGCGGGCAAGTGAGAAGGGTTGTTTATAACCTGGGCTGTAGTTATCTCCGTGCCTTTTGGAGGAAGGTAAACACATCTGACAGGGCTAGTTAAACAGGAGGGCTAACTCCACATGTTAGGTGTTCTACAGTGGTAGTAGAATCTCTTCACTGGATGTTACTGTCCTGGGTCATGGCCAGCAGCTTCTGGTTTGGGGTTCTCAATTTGATTTTAAAGGGGCAGTGCCAGGGGTCTGGGGGGGGGGGGGGGTAATGAAGGAGAGAGAGAAAGGGGCGCATAGACTTCATTTCTTAGATGTCTGAAAAAAACCCAAGCAGTATTACAAATTGTTTCTTCAAACTCAGTTCATTAATTATTATGTTTTACAAATAAAATTATGGAATTATCTTTGTAATGTTTACTACTAATTACTAAGAAATTGCAGCACCTTAAGAAAACATAAAGGCATTTATCACCTATTGATTTCATGACACAGAGTAATGACACTGCTACATCAACAGGAAATATATTCCGTGTGTTCATTTCGCCTAAAAATCAACCTCATTAATTTCGTCAATAGATGAGTCGTTGTTTACAAACACGCAGCATAGAAGCTGGGTGAAGGAAAATGTTAAAAGGAAATATCTGTTTCTGCCCAGCTGAGAAGGTAATTGGAAAGGAAAAACCCATTATGAAGACTGGACTTTTTGTGGTTTTTACCCGAAAATGGAACATTTATATTGGACACTTGTAGAATGCACGTCCTTTAATAGTTCCATTTCATTATGACAAGACAAAAACCTGTTCTTGTGTCTTTAAGCTGAGTGCAACCTAATAATTCACCAGCTTTTCTGTATTTCACTCAACACCAGGAGGAGGTCTGTTAATCAGTTAAACTGATTGCTTTCAGCGAGTCCCAGTTGAGTTGGATCGATCTGCATAGACTGATAGTTTCAATTGGAACGAGCTATTTACAATTGAAAAATCCATTAGGGATTTATGTGGCCCATCCAATCAACCAATTCTTATCTAAAGCTCTGTTCACAAACAAGTTGAGCTGCTGTCTAACTGACCCATAACTCAAATATGGCCAGAGAGAGTTCCTTTTTCACTCAGAAAGATGCTGCAGCATTCTGTGAGGTGGTCTTCAACTTTTGTTATGCATCATTGAGACTTATAACACATTGCCAACCTACAGTTGTGCAATATCTTGTAATTTAAAATAATGACCAGTTAATGAGTGTGGCAGATATAGGGAGAAGTCAGCCATAAGGACAGTTTAAATTGTAATTAATAAACTGGTGATGAGAAAGACCTGATTGTAATGAGGATCTAAGATCACACAGATATATAAGAGCATACATGAAGACTAATGGCCAAATGCTGAAAGTGATTTGTTGTGCCAAATAAAATGATAGTTTTTCTATTGATATTCATTTATTTTTCCCATTTGTTAAAAACAATGTTATTTGGGAAAATTACAAAATGTTTTTAGATAATGTCAAAAAGAGGGAGCTAGAGTAAGTGCTAATGATGATGTTCTAGTGAAAGCTTTTAAATCCATGGTGTAGATTGTGGGTAATTGGATCTTGGTAACTCGTGGTTGTTTGATGTAGTTAAAACGAATCAAATGGTTGTGCGTGTGTTTAGTGGCAGTTTTCTGAGAAATTTCCGGGTATCTGTTTTTGTTGTCAGCCTTCAATTTACTGGAAAACAAAATTAATGGAAACAAAAAGCAATTGCTGTGTTGTGTGTTGGTGTGATGTGGTTGGAATGCCATTACTGGTACATTTGTGGTTATGGGATGTAGAGCACTGCTGGAAAAAAAAAAAGAAATGATGGGAAAAATGATGAAATAAGACTTATGTACATTGTCATTGTTTAGATATAAGAAAAGAGGGTTGAGAAAGAGAGAGAGAGAGTGTGTGTGTGTGTGAGAGAGAGAGAGAGAGAGAGAGAGAGAGGCAGGGGAGGTGTGTGTATGTATGTGTGTGTGTGTGTGTGTGTGAGAGAGAGTGTGAGAGAGAGAGAGAGAGCGGCTGCAGTCTCCTGGGCAGAACCATCTGTCCTGCGGCTTCTTCTGGAATAAGGAAGCGTGAACAGACTTCAAAGTAATTGTATTCACCATCCATCTGACTTAAAGNAAAAATGGAGGTGGTTGTTGGTAAACCTCCGCTTAAGCGGAGGTTTTCTTTTTATTGTATTTTCCAAAAATGTTACAGAGCGATGGCGTGTGCCGGGAATGATAGATTAAAGGTTGGTAAATCGCGGAAAAGTAGTGTTAACCTCGGGATAAATCAGGATAAATCAATTTTGGCGCGAAAATCCTCTTTTGTGTCCTTTTAATTGACTTTGCCATACAACATATGGCAGACGAGGAAATACCAATCACCTTTTTTTTTTCGTGAAAAATGGTACAGGAAGAGAAAATAAAATTGATAATACCTTTGTTATGCAATGATTGGTAAAATATGAATTTTGATACTTCCAGTGGACTCATTGTAAACGTAATTGATTATTTTCAAATAAAATATTTGAACTGTGCGCCAGATGGATTTCAAAGTTGGATTTCATTTTCTGGAAAAAAAATAAGGATTATGATGATAATAGTGATAATATCATATTTATGATAATATTTATAATAACAGTAACAGCAATCATAATAACAAAAATGAACAGACCAACCTGAAAGATGAACTAATCCAAATTGTGGAAATAATAGTTAATAAACAGTAAAACTGATGTCTTTATATTTGTATTTTCCAGCTGGTAGCAGCAGAAAGTAGTGCCTCAGATACACAGTCCCAGTGTGATTCACAGCAGGGGGATCCCACCCCACCCCCCAACCTTCCAGGAGAGAGAGTGGGAGGAATTGGAGACAGTCGCCCGCCATCTTTTCAGTAAGTGTTTTGATGCATTCAGGCCATAGACTAAAGAAAAAAAAGAAGAAGAAATAACACAGTATGGATAGAACTACAAATCTTGTTTGATCATTTCAAGATTTATGGATTTAATTGGCTTATAAAACAACGTGCACTTTGAAACCCAGTGCACTGTTCACAGCTTTGAAGTCATCTTCGTCTTTGTCTAGTGTGGTCCATTATCTCAAGACACCAATGTCAACTTGTTATCCAAAATCTTGTTGCTATTTTGTGAAGCTCAGGCCATATTGAGGGTATTATAAACCAACCGAATCATCATTATTGGCTTAAAGAAGATGATATATCCATCATCCAGCTAAATAAATCAGTGGGTTAGTTATTTGAGTAGGAGGCTATGTATTTGTACCCGCCCCCCTCCAACCCATCCAACTAACCACCCAGCCACCCACCCCTTAGGAAATCTAAAATATTTTTTCCAAGAGGGTCTTGGTTTTGACCCCAGCCTTTTCTCCAGTTACTGCTAGTGCCCCAGGAACAGTAGAAAGTGTAAGGTTATTCTTCAAAAAATTTGCATTCTGTGAAATCATTTCACTTGAATAAGGTTTTCTTCATAATACTTGAAGAAATTGATTGTTGAATACTTAGAATAGTTGGGTTTAAGATGGAAGAATACTTAGAATAGTTGGGTTTAAGATGGAAATGCTGCTTTAAAAGGAAACAAAATTGTGAAGAAAGATACGCTGAGAATAATTGGTATTTGAAAGTTGTGAATCATTACAGTACTACAGTAGGGCTACAGGTGCACAAACACCATTAGGTCAGTTTGATTGGTTTAGAAGGCTTATTATAGACAACATGGGGCATCTCTACAGGTAGTAAAATGCTTGACTACAGGAGAGAGATTGGCTTGCTGAGTGCTTGCTCCTTGCTGGACGGGCTTCGGGCTTCGCCTGAAAGTGACATTCACTCAGTATATTGCAGATGCAGGTAGACTACAATCAAGGTGCTTTTATGCTGTGCTTATTTCATCTTCCATATATTTATTTATTTATTTGCATTCTAAGAAATTGTGAACTGTGTTTTGAAGCTATAACAGGGATCAGGATATTAAAAATTATAAACTTAAGAAAAAAAACTTATTAATTTATTCTTTCTTTCTATATTTTACCTTTATTTTTTGTTGAACGTTTCTTTATAATATTGACATAGCAAGTATACCACAGCATGACGTCATGCAATCAACAACTTGCCAGATATTTTGACTGTAGCAACAGTAACACGTAATGTGTCTGGTGTAACCGCCCCAGTTTGCGCCACTCCGATTCCCACTGGATTTGTCTTGTGTCAGTTGTGTGTGTAAATGATGCTCACTCTGATTCCCACCTGATTTGTCTTGCATGTGTAAATGAGCCTTAGCTTTCAGAGTCAAATGGATGCTGGTTGATGTTTACACTTGCTGCTGTTTATGCTGCTACTGTGTTAACAGGGAATTCATTTGGCTGAGGGGTTAGAAGATGGTTAGACTTGTTTTGGGGATGACTGGAAGGTCAAAATAGGTGTTTTTTGGCCAAATTAACTTACACTGAAGAATTTAAAGAAAAGCAAAAAAAAGATGAGACACTGAAGCATTTAAAGAAAAGAAAAAAAAAAGATGAGGTAGATCTGTTGAGTGGGGGGGGGGGGGCGTTTTGAAAAAAGTTAGAGATATTTTTCTTAGTTAGAGATATTTTTCTTAGTAACATTATGGCAAATGTATACTCAAGGAGTAAACATGAAAACATTAACATGGTTCGCCAATCTCAGTCTTTTTTCTCTGTTGTCTTTCTATTCCTTAGCCTTTGTTACTGAGCCACCTTCTGTGCTGAGATAGTTTGTTAAGTGGTCATAGCTTTTACTATAGATACACCTAATAAGCATCTTCAATAATCCATGTACTTTATTGCTGGCGCCCAGACCCAGTGTGTGATTGTGTTAATTGAGTAGTTTTGCTTATTTTTGAAGTATTCTCAATTTCTGTTGGGAACTTCATGAAGACAAGTATGTTAAGTGCACTTCAACATAATTCTTTTAAGTAACCAGTCCAGGTATTTTGGGTTGTTGAACAGGTGTAAGTCTCAGTGGATACGTACAGGTTTCCTTAACAACACTGTATGTATGTAAAAAATTTGGATAGATCATGTTTTGAATAATAGAGTTATGTAAAGAACAGATATTGGATGAGTTATTTTGAATGAGCTATTAAGCCTTTTACATAAGCCTGAGTATTTTAAGAATGTATGAAAAACTGAAACACATACCTCTGGAAATGCAAAATTAGATTATTGTCGTAAACAAGGGGCATGTGCAAAAATATAAACATGCACGTGCAAGTGGATTGTTGAAGATGAACAGACACATAGGGATGAGAGCCCAAGTAGCAACAGTGTGACAACTTTGATATAAACAGATCATTCTCACGTATCCAATCTGCAAGAACTGGCCCAACTGTGCTTATTATGTGAGAAGAACACACACATGTATGCATGTGTGCACGACGTAAACAATGTTACTGTACAAACCAGGATATGACCCAAAAATCTTAGCTTTCAAAAAAAAAAAATACTAATTCACCAGCAAGATATGTCACTAGAATGTTACAGACATGATTTTTTCCCCCGATTTAAATTACAAAACTAATTTTTTTTCTGGCAGTTTTTCTACTTAAAGCAGTCCCCCCTCCCCCCCCCCCCCCCCAATCATAAAGCCACTGACTGTGAGTCTGTGACTGAGCCATTTTTCCTGTTACTCTAACAACCCAAAATCATGTCTTATATCAAAATCATTCACAAGGAATCATGATGTCAGAGGTTTTGTGAAATTTACAGCAGCAGGGTTATAATTTAGAAGTACATATAGACAGAAGTGAAGTGACATACTTGGAACAACAAAACACCGCTTGGTGAGAAGCGGACTCACAGTGCTTCCATCACGTAGCACAAATACTGCCTTGGTTGTCACCAGGAGGCTTGTGTATTTGTCTTAACTGGCTCATTCTCTCACCTGTCAAAGACTATGTAGACACAGTGTAAATAAACTACAGGGCAGCAGGGAGGTGGATATGGCTATTGATTGGACTCGTGCTAAGTGTGAATGAATGTGAATACATGGGATGATTCATAATAAAAGAATCTGATTAATGAAAATATCAGGTTCACTGACAATGTATATTACATACATGTGATAAAAGAACTATGAATATTTGATTTTGACAATGAATGAAAATTAAATGAAAAATATTCATATGTAGAAAAATAAAGTTCATTGGAAGGCTTAACATTTGGTTTCATATTGCCACTTATTCTTAAAGAAGATAAAAAGAAAGAGCAAGATTCAATGATGTTTTAAAAACTTATTTGGCAAGTTATGTAAGGCTTCGTTCACATGCAATGTCTATTTTCTAAATTCTATTTTCTATTTGCGGCATGTCTTATGATCACGGTCTGTGCACTGAATTTCCCGCCGCGAAATTACTGGCAGCACGAGCCAGTTACTATAAGTTACTATAAGTAACTGGCTCGCGCTGCCAGTAATTATGTGGCGGGATATTCAGTGCACAGACCGTGATCATAAGATAGCGCGAATAGAAAATAGAATTTAGAAAATAGACATTGCATGTGAACGAAGCCTTACTTTGGCTATCAGTTTACTTGTTCATTAAAGTCAGAAAAAGAAACAGAATGTTTACTAGTAATCAAACATTGATGATTGACATCATTTTAACCTTTCAGTTTACCAGCACAGATAATTTTCAATCTTTTTTTAGTTGATATATCATAATAATCTTTTTGCTTTCTCCAAGCTTTCAAAACTGAATTGATTCTGAAGATGAGTCCATGAAATTACCATAGACCTCTTGTTTATCCCCCTGTCTTATTTTGATGTAATCTGTATGGGGTTTCTTTGTGTATATTTCAGTGCTAACGCCTCATCAGTCCACAGCCAAGACAACGAGCCATGTGACACATGTACAGAGACAGACTCCGTTATCAGCTCACGACGAGGTAGGATGTGTGTGTGTGCGCGCATGTGTGTATATATGTGGAAGAGAGAGAAAAAGAGCTGATTTTGTTTATATTCAGCATTCATGATTGTTTTGTTTTTTTATATCAAAAATGCATGTCCTTCTCTGTTTTACTTTTGCTTTGCTGTTCACTTGCTCTACTTGTTATTGAATGCTAAAGCTTATGTTTGTTATGTCAGATTGTTCAAAGGCACCTTTTTATATGTGCAAGATTGCACATCAGTTTGTCTGTCTCGATAATAAATATTAGAAAAAAAAAGAGGAAGTATACCTGAATGTATGTGTGTAAAATGCCCCTACAGTGATTTTAAATTGTGTTAGCTGTGACTGGAGCACAATTACTATGGTTGTGCCTAACTGGGTGAGACAGATTGTGTTGTGCTTGCCTGAGTGAGACGGGTTGTGTTGTGCATTTAGTGAGCCAGAATGAGATGAATTGAGTAATCAACTGAACACGGGTCATGTTTCACAGTTGCTGGCGAGGGGAAGAGAGGTAAGTGACCTTTAATATTCATAAATTTTAACGTCTACAGACAAAATGCACAGCTTGTGTTAGACTGTTAAGTTGAGGTTAGATTCAACAGGTGAACACCCATGAAAAAAAAAAAAAAGACTAAGGAAAAAGAGAATGAAAGCAATTATATCATAAGTTTAGTCAAGATGAGTTACAGTATATATACAACCTACAGCATATATATACAAACGGAAGATGATACCTTTTTTCCCCAGGGGTAATTTTCATCAGAGATGAAGGACTGCCTGTTATGTTTTGAACTTGGGCAATCATAGGTGAACAATTTTATTGCAACATTTTTATGGCAAAGTTGCTGCTTTGCAGTCTTACAGAAAGGAACCCAGAATTGAGATTCAAAGATACCAAGGTGGACTCTTCAGAAACATTTACACTGAAAAAAAAAAAAAAAAGAAAAGAAAAGCATAATCAACAATATCTTAAAAGGGGGAAGAAAGAAAGCAAAAATAGACAAAACATCATGTTGCAATTGTGCAGTATTTCACAAACAGGGCAAGATTTTAGCCTCAATGAATTCATCTCAACAGATGGCAGCACCTAGGGGAAGGCTCAAGAGAAACCTCTGCCCATATTTTATTTGCTAGAATGATTACCCACCTCTTGATATTGATAGAGATAGGAGGATAAGGCATAATTCCAAGCAACAACAGACCTCACTAGGTTTCAGGAGAATTTACCAACAAGAAGTTAAAATGTCCGCACCTCTGTGAAGATTTTCTACGGAAGATAACATTGTTGGATGTAAACACTCCCCACAGAATGAATGAATGGATTGGAAGGTGGGGAAAATTGGAAAGAAGATAGCCACTTTTGTGTTGGACAGGATTGATTGGTGATTGATAATGGGACCTTGGCAGTGATGGGAACCCAGTAAGCTCCTTGTGCATTACTTTTCCAGACAACCAGGAAATTTGCTCTAGAAATATTTTCAAATCTGAAAATAAATGGAAAAGGAACAAGGATAAAAGTCCGAGGGCATCGTTTAAACAGTAGACATTAACTGTATAGGCTTACATCTGGAGAGTTTGAGTTCTGGTGGGAATGCCAACTGTGACTTGGAACTGACTTGTGTATTTTGATACACTGATTTGATTACTGTTCAAGCAGTCCTTGGCAGATAGGCTTAGTGGCATTAAAAGGTAATGTGAGAACAGTAAATGATTTGATGATTACGCAGTAGCAGTCTTTTAAAGAATGCAAAATGTTTTTGTAAATTTTCAGTTTTGGAACACACTTGTGGAAAAGATTTCAGATTAAATCACCATACAACCTAAGATAAATTTTATAATGTTTTTGTTATAAATTGAGGAGACAAATTACAGTGTTTTACATTTTAGTCAGTAAACATTTTATGTGTCCAAATTTAGCACCAAATAACTCATATTTTTAAAAAAATTGATTATTTGTCCAGAAAAGGGCCCTAGGTCTGAAATTTCATGCTGCAAGAATTTTTACACCTAATTGATGTCAATAACAGTAATTACATACAGGATAACAATAACGGTGTCTGCTAAACTCTCATTATAACAGCCCAAATTTCACAGCAGTGTCAACAGAGCGACGGGTGACTTTGTGTCACTTCAACCAGTGATCTGTCATTGTCACCTGTCCTGGAATGACGTTAATTAGCTCGCGGGGGTGACAATTAGGAGGCGGGGTGCGCAGGCCACATGGTATCAAGAGGGAGGGGTCAGAAGAGCACAGTTCATTTCATGGGGTATGACTGTGAACAAAATGTCTGTTTCTTCCCCGTGTTTATGCTAAGTTTTATGGTTTATCGAGACTTTCCAAGGCAGCTGGTCGGGCTTGATATGTTTTTTTTTTTTTTTTTTTTTTT